AAATGATGTAAAGACTTTAAGAGAACAGTAGATTATGATGACTGACAATTAAGTACTCTTTCTTAAAGCCTTTTAGAAAAAAAAAAGATTACAAAGAAATTTCTCACTATCCTTTTGTTTCTTGCTGTCATAATAGCTCTCCGTAGGCTTGCGTAGGCTTTGTACTAGTGCACAAAAAAAGACAACAGGATCTTGGATAAAGAAACTGCTGAAATCTTCCTGGAAAAAGGATTCAAGGGTCATTGTTTACTATAGTCTAGCAGAATTTCCATGAAAGTTTACCAGCTTAGGCAAGAAACTACTCCTCCACTCTGCTGCTGATGGAAAAATGAACTTTTTTAGGAACCCTGTTGATTTATGTTACATTTCAATGTACTTTCATTCTTTAACTCACTATAGTTTCAAGTAACATGCTATGATTATTAAAACTGATTTGTTTTTTTTTCTGAAGAAAAGGTTTTTCTTATCTGTGCTCCCACCCCCTCGACCCGATCCTTACTAGCTTAGATATGATTGGTGTTTTTAATTATTGTAATTGCTTCACTTAGGACTCAATTCTGCAAATTCCTGGGTATGTTGCCTGTTTGTCAGTGCTTGTCTGAGGGTAGTTACATGTGTTTAAGGTGTTCACAGAACTGAGATCTTTGTTTTCATTTTACCCTTAAATAAGGGAGAGATTTTATTTATTTTTGCATGGAACAGCAGAGGAAGGTTCAGGTCCCTATCCCCTGTTGCCCTTAGGAGTCAGAGTGGCTCATCTGTCCCTGAGGGATTCAGCATATGCTCGGAGAGAGATTTCAGTTGCTCCATACTGCCTGTAAAACAGCAGCAGCAGCAACCAAAAAAACCCCTCCCAATTCAGGGAGCCTGCACTAATCTGTTCAGTGAGCTTGGCTATTAAGATGTTAGAGCCCTTGTCCTGAAATGGTGGGAGCGTTTCAGGAAAGCCGGTTGGTTCCTGTGGATTAATTCTTGGGGCCAGTGAGGCCTGAGCCAAAACCCCTTAAAATGGATGAAATGGCTACCAGTGAGTTTAGTGGGTTTTCGTCAGCCAAGTTGTACTGGTGTATTTGGGCAGGATCATCATGGCTGTGCTTCTGCATACTAGTTATGTATGCAGTTGTGTTCTCATCATGAGAAAAGGCCTGGAGAAAGCTGTGCTCACAGGACCCAGTGGCTCTCGGTTGCTGCTCATCTTTGCTGTTTCCTAATAGGATCGGCATGATGGCAACAGCTACCTGTATCCAGGGTTGAATAGGCTGGGAATATTTCATCTGGCCAGCATCCTGTCTGCATGTGCCAGTGCGAACACAGGGCAAGTCTGGCACATCTGCTGCATGGATGTATGCTTGTCTTCAGTGCCGTGCTTCAAATTCGGAAGAGTGATTCGGAAGAGTAATCCAGATAACACAGATCAACATCAGATACCAAGCCACAATCCTTTGCATGTGTTGTGGCTGCATTGCAGGAATTGGTTCTCCCATTCTCTCCTGAATTTTTGTTCGTTTGCTACCAGGGACACAGTTCCAGTGGCACAGCCCATCACACGGGCTGACCCGTTGGCAGGAAACTACCTTTTCCCCCCTTTAGCATCCCACACCTTTTATTGCTTAGGGAGATATACATAGTGTGTCAGTTACAGTTCACATTGAGTAACTTATATGCTGAATCTAAGAATGTTAGTATTTCTCATGTTCACCTCTTGGCCCTTTTGGAATAGTTTCCTTTTTCCTATTGGAAAACTCTTGAGTGTATTGATCCCAAGAGGCATATAAAACAGCATCGGTGATGTCAAGGGCACCTGATTCAGGCAATCCTGATACAGAGATATCAGAGTTTTCCCTGAATATATGTGAACAGCATACACTGGCTGGGAATCTAAAAGAAACGAGGGCTTGGAGAAACCCAGGCAGAGCAAAAGATCAAGGAAGACTTAGCAGAAATCTAGAAGAAACAGGGACTGAAGGGGATATGGACTGCAAATATAGATGGGCAGTGGTAGCAGTCCTCTTTGCCATTGCAGCATAAAGCAGTGATTTGAAAAGCACATAATACCATCGCTAACAAAGAGGAAGAGATCTTGCTTTAGAAATAGAAGTGAGAAAGATTCCTCCCACAGCAGGCACACAAAGTTTTCATCTTCCCACTCACACCACTGCTCCAACAGCATGCAGCCCTGTTTGCATCCTGGCAATTTGCATCCTGGGTTGAGTGAGTTGGGAGGCCGATGGCAGCATGCGCCATGGGATGGGTCTGGAAGCAATCCTTTTCCTCCTAGCTTGAGCCTCAGGCTTTCCCTGTCTTGAGGGGGAAAAATGTTTGTGAAGAGATTATTTAAAAAAAAAAAAAAAAAATTGTCGGTGTCTGCGTATTGGATGAGTAGCTTGAACATACTCAGCCAAGGCAGCTGTAACCTAAGCAGCCAAAGTCCGCTCGAGCTGGGGCTGAATTTGGCCCATTGTCTCTCCTTCACACCCACAGTACAAATAAAAGCTGCGGCTTCTTAGGGCTAGGTGGGAGGGAGGAGGCGGGAAAGACACTGGAGCGTGGTGTTGCATTGACAGTTGATGTGCCTTCCTTGAAAACCTGAGCTTCTCATCATTTCTGGATATAGCAGTATTACAAGTCATTGGGAGATAGGATACAGTTTGTTAGGAGTGAGACATTAGGATGAGTATAGGATCTTTATGGGAGAGTAATGGAGCAATGCTGACTTCTGATTAAGGGAAGGGGAAAAAGCAGTGTTACCCTGAAAATTGGGCTGGAGTCTTCAAAACCTAAATCTTTGGCAGGAGTTGCATTCAAAGGGGTCATTTTAATTCAGAATGATGTTTACTTTCAGCTATTCTTTAAATAACTTAGGGCTGTGTCCCTCTGGAATAGAAACAGTGGAGCAGACTGAAGGGCTTTTGCTATCAGTTAAATCTGGCAAATAGACTATACAAAAGTAATTTATCTTTGCTACTTGAATAACAATAGTTACATCGCACTTTCCCCCAGAAGGAGGCTATGGACGTTTATAAGTGGTGTACAAGAGTCTCCTTCATCCTCACTAAACACCAGCTAGCTCGGTGATAGAGCCAAATCACTGTTTAGCAGTAGAAGGCTGCAGTTTGGAACGACTTAAAGCAAGTAATATAAAATATGAAATCCAAATAATATAGAATATGAAAGGGTCATTTAAACCAGCAGAAGGTATTTATAAACTGGAGTTTAGCTAGAGCTGGTAACATCTGTGGAGTTGAAGTAACTGCAACCGAGTCTCCGTGATTCTTAAACATCCAGGATTTGCTTTGGATGCTTCCTCTCACTGGCACAGTATGTTTTCAAAAGTATTACTGCTGCATAGGGCACTTACATCAGACCGAGAGTGACTTCATTTCAGCTTGAACTGCGTTCAAAACCAATATAAGTTAACTAGGAAGAAGCAATCTTATTTCAGAATAAGTATGCTTGTATGGTGATTATATTGTTATGTCAATTTAATTTGCAGTGTAGCTTAACACTTTCTTGTGAAGACAAATCCTTAAAAGATCACTTGCATCTGTGAGTTCACATATCCTCTTGATACATTCTAAGATAACCATGGGGTTTTACCCTCACACAGTGACCAACATTGCTAGAGGATATCTTATAGGAAATGTGGAATAAGTGAACAAGTTTGGGGATGGCCAGGTTAGAGTGTGATCTGGAGAGCTACATTTTGCCTATGTATCATTGCCTGTGATTTCACTTTTTGTATTTTTCATTTCTGTGGAAGTATAGTGTAGAAGACAATAAAAATCAGGTATCCTAAGCACCTAAATCATCAGATCCATATCCCTGCTAGAGAGGACGTGTTTTTTTTGAAGGTGGATTTTTCAGGTATTGAGCAATGACCTAAACTCGTTTTCAGTGAAATCATTGCCTCCCATTGATTTTGGTGAATCCCAGTTAGGCCATTGATAAGCACTTCTGTAGGTGCAGCCTAATCCCCAACCATACTTGATCTCAGCAAAAAACTCCCAGCACTAAATTGTCATGCACAAGTATTGTCCAGCTCCTTTGTTTTCTCCAGCAGGGTATCATGTCCTAGGGAGAAGAAATGAGCCTGCTGCCCTTGTTTGTAAAGTACTTTGGGATCCCTCAGAGTGTAACATGAATGCCAGTGGGCTGTGGTTCTCTCCCATCTGGGTTTCAGTTCCAGAGCATGAGACCTTTTCACTTTCTACTTTTTTTTTTTTTTTTTTTTCCCCTTTCTGCCCTTGCAACAGGGCACTCAGCTGGTGTTTGCGAGCAGCTGTTCTGTTTCCCTGTCTGCCTGCAGCGGTATCCAGATAGCTGCACTGTGTGGCAGCCAAAGGTGGCCAGAACAATGCCCAGCTTTGTTAAAAAGTAACAAGATTGGGAAAGAGGGGAGGGAGCAGGAAAATCTGTGACCTGGAGTAGATCCTACAGCACAATGTCAATGGGTGCTGAGAGACCTGGTTGACCTCCATGTCCGACTAGAGGTGCATTTTCTATGCATCTGTCACAGTAAGACTCACCTGATGACTTGGAGAAAGCCGTTAATCATGAGATGATGCTGATGTTCTCTGGGAAAGGAAGTATTGCTGACAGTGGCAAACAGCTTATGTTCATGTCTCATGCAAACTTAAATGTGCATAAGTGTGTGTTCAGCATCTGCTTTCCACATGCTGCATGACTCAGACACACAGGGGGTCAGGTGTGGCTAAGAACAGGCCTGTGATGTGCAGTATGACGCTTTTTTTTTTTTTTATTTCTTGCAGGCAGCTTTCTTGTGGATGGTAGAACATTATATTTAACTCTTTGTCCATTCTTGGTTTTATGTGCATATTTTTCCAATGATGATCATGGTGTCTGTTTTGTGGTTCTACCTTTGAGCACTTACAAATTAGTGAGGAACAATTCAATGTGCGTGAAGCTACGTGGTAGGTTTGTGGCATGTCAGGATTTCAGCTTTTGCCCAACTTCATATTTCTTTTCTTTGTATTCCAGAAAAAGGCATGGCATACAATTAAAACCATGGTTAACTTACCAGTCATCAGTCCCTTCAAGAAACGCTACTCATGGGTGCAGTTGGCTGGGCATACAGGTGAGATGGATGTCTTCAATGTGTTTGTCTCTGGAGCAAGGATGGCAGCAGCAAGGAAAACAGTGTTTCAGTGTTTCTCCATTTCTTTCCTCTAGGTAAAAGGAAGTGGGCAATATCACATGCATCTGTGAACTAGAACATCTTTCCTTCAGTTGTGGTGGGGATAGGGAATGGGGAGTGATACACCTGAAAAATGAGATGAGCAAGGAAGCAATGGTCAGACTCTGGGGAAGGGCCAGGCTCCCGATGCATCCTTGTAAGGTGATATATGTAAAATACACGTTAGAGGGAAACAAGAGGGACTGGGAAGTTGAAGCCCCAGTCCATCTGTTGCTGTTGGTTGTGGTACGGGATCATCTTTCCAGACTGAGTAGTCAATATGTTAGTTCCCTAGTGGGAAGGATTACTGTCTGTGCCTGTATATGCCTCAGTCCTGGCAAGGACAGTGTTTCTTCTACCAACCCCCAGCCTCTCACCTGAATGTAAGCCCTTGGGTGGAAAACAAATCTGGTGAAAATTGACTTGCTGACCGGGTGTTTGCATTGCGAGTCTGTCGTTGTTCATTGGATGAGTGCAAGGAGCAGCTCAGTCAGCTGGTTCTAGTTTTGTGTCTGTGGAAGCTGGTAAGTGTGCTCCTGATGTAGGCTTTGTTTCACTGGTAAGGCAAAAAAAACAACACAGAGAAGTCATTAGGTTTTCTTCTCTCGTGCTTCATTTAATTCCTATGCAGCCCTTGTTCCTAAAGTGCTAGTGCGGGGTTTATTAGTACACATGTGGGCAGGCACCTACGCTGCATCGTGCTTTAATGCAGTACCTGAACCACCTCTTTATATGCTAATGCACTAATATGATGCACTTCAAAGCTGTGCAGAGAAATTTATTTAGTCCTAGAAATGGAGTAGCTGCATTTTGCACAGTGGCATTGGTGGGGCTGACTTGTATCACGCCGAGTGCCAAGATGACCCAGCCTTATTGCAGTTTTTAGCTCAGTGTGTATGGGGTTGGCTTGGTCTGTGTGGAGTGATGCACTGGTCGTGTAAGCATAACCCTTCTGGAGGCTTGTGTAGTAGGGTGGAAGAGGAGAGTTAAGAGGTTACTAGCGGCTGATGAGGAGAGATACTGTTCCACTTTGCTTTAGATAGTTTTCTGTGGCTGCATTTAGTCCGTCCTTTTGCAGCTGTTCTTTTCTGATATGACAAGTTCTTTCTAAACTAAAACCTGGGCCATCACCACCCTCACCCTTGTGCTGCAGCAGTGCCAGTTCGAGGATTTGTCAGAGAAGAACCAGTTTGCAATTGCTGAGGATCCTGCTGTGATAAAAGTTGAGCGTTAGCCCCAGGATTAATGAGGCTCCTACTTTGGTGCCTGTTTTACGTTGTGTAGATTAAAAGGTACCTCTGAATGAAATGTGTACTTTCTTCAGACGTTATTGGCAGGTTGTGGGACAGGAGAGCGACTTCCGCAGCTGGAGTCTAATTACTGCCAATCTTGGCCTATGCAGACTGTCATTTGTACCGGATACCATTCAGACGCAGGGCTGTAAAAAACCAATTGCACTACAGGCTGTACCTGCAGATTAGCAGTGCTCCGGAGAAGAGGCAGTACGTGGAGGTACACACATGCGCATTGGCAGCATGTGTGTATAGAAAGGGCAGTGCTTGGCTTCTAGCCTGTTTGTGGCTGTTTAACGATCACTGATTGACTGTACTGCCTTGGTACGTACACACTCAGCAGGTATACCCTATGTGAGGATTAAGGACAAAGCCAACACTGGCAGCGTTATGCAGCTTTAAAACAGCCTGCCAGAGGATTAATGAATTCTGGCTTGTGGCTTCTTCCTGTGCATTTTACTAAGTAGAGTAGTGTTTAATATCCTAACAAAGAGTTTAGCATGGAAAAAAAAATGGATGGCCTGGAGCAGCTGCACTCCTTAAAGCTATAAATTCTGACATGGGAATGTATCCAAATGGACTTTCACTGCCAACGGCTGTGTTTGTCATGGATGTTTTATTTTTTTATGAAAAGCATGTTATCTTTTCTGTTCAGAGGAAATCTTTAATTGGTGTCATAAAGCTGGAGTGGTGGGGGAAGGTGTTTTTCTTTTTTGTGGGTCAGTCTTGTCAGCATGTGTTTGTTTTTCTTTTTTAGGGAGTTTCAAGGCAGCTGATAGTGGGAAGATTCTCAAACGCTTCTCAGAGAATGAAAAGGAGTGTTTTGAGCGATTGATGAAAGACCCGCTACGCTCCTGTGTCCCTTGCTTCCATGGTGTGGTGGAGAGAGATGGCGAGAGCTACATTCAGCTGGATGACTTGCTTACTGATTTTGAAGGGCCTTGTGTGATGGACTGCAAGATGGGGATAAGGTGGGGTACATGAAAAAGAAAGTGCTTTCTAACCCAAATGCATTTGAAGGAAGGGGAGGATGTCGTCATGCTCTGTCTGGAGGAGCATGGTAACATTTTTGGAGCCTTGGGATTCAGTCCAGACAACCTGTTGTTGGTTTGGCAATCGCCTTGGGCAACCTGGGGAGAGTATGTCCCATTGTTGCCTGATTGTACGGGGATTCTGTAAACTGCCTGATCTATAGCCACAAAAATTATCCACATCAAGTTATTTTCAGGGGTGATTTAAGACAAAGTTTCTCTGTGGTGTCCTGATAATACATGGGGAAAAATTACATGATTTGTTCACTGCCAGTTCATTTAATCTTTGTGTATACAGTGATTCAAAAAACCCCACAAAGAGTAAAATTCCCACCTCCAAATCTGAATGACCGAATAGCAGCGTGAAAGCCCATTTCCAGCGCTTGAATGAGTCTTCACTGGTATTGATCTTTTCTGTAAAGAAAACAGTTGACCATCTGCTCAGGACTGACCTGTGTTTTTCCCTGCTCTGACACCTCCATGATGCTATCATCTCATTCTCCAGATTCTCACTTTCTTTTCTTTTTCTCGTCTGTGATTAAGAGGAAAACCTCAAAAATGTTATCTAAGCATAACAAATAGATAAGGAATCTGTTCAGAGCCTGGAGTAACAGTAGAGAGAGGTATAAACTGTCATAGTAATCTTTTGGGAGCCAGCGCAGGTGCTCAAGAATTATTGTCATAAACGAGTTATTCAACTTACAGGAGTGCAGACGGGCCTTTTCAAATAGATGCAGAATCTTAAATGAATTGTCAGCTAAATCAGAGTAGAAATGTGTAGCACTGGTATGCCCAGAAGAAAGAGGAGAAGGATTTCCAGCAGTACATATTTTATTCAAAGTAGGTAACATTCTGGTAATGAGTGACAGCATCTCCTAAACACCAGCCTGGTTTATTACACTGTGATGAAGAAAGTACACCCCAGGCCCCTGACAAAGCGCAAGCTTTGTGGAAAGGGACAAGCTCTAGGAGTCCAGTGGAATGTAGAGAACGTGGATAGTAGCTTTCTAACGGTTACCAGATTAACGGGTTGAGTGATGACAGCAAAATGTGCAAGGTTTGCCACTCTTCACCTTCCTGTTCTTAGTTACCCCTTCTGGTTTGGAGCTGCTCGGATAATCTGCTTTACTTTTTCATTTTTACTATATGAAGAGTGATTCTGTCTTCCACTGTCTGATGTATTAAGTAAAACCTTCCTTGCTTTCTGAGGCCTAAAAAAATCACAGATGACTGATGTTAGGTTTTTTTGAGGAGAGAGAAGACAGTAAGACTTCAGCAGCCCTATTTGGTTTTGATTTCATTGTAAGTGAATTCTCCTAACTGTCCTCTGAAAATACAGTTCTATTTCATGGCACAGTAGGAATTCAGCTTTCTCCCATTCTGTAAGCAGGACATAACAGTAACATGCAACAGTAAGTAAAGGTATAGTTAGAACAAGAATTGAATGACACAATTCCTGATTCTTGCAACTGTTTCACTAAATATGCCTGTGCAGTCATTAGTCCGTGTTTTTTAGTTTCCCCATATGCAAAACTGGGGTAGTGATAACACTTTCCTGGTTGACATTTCTTGAGGCCAGGTTATAAGTTGTAAAAAGAAATGTCGGGGGGGTCCTTACAGTTTTGTTGGGATGTGATGTTTTTGCAGGACATACTTGGAGGAAGAGTTGACTAAGGCCCGTGAGAAACCAAAGCTGCGTAAGGACATGTACAAGAAAATGATTGAAGTGGATCCTCTTGCTCCCACAGCTGAAGAGAATGCCCAGCATGCTGTCACCAAACCCCGGTACATGCAGTGGAGGGAAACCATCAGCTCTAGTGCCAACCTGGGCTTCAGAATTGAAGGGATTAAGGTAATAGTTTCACTTCTGCCTGCTCTTGGAGACTGAACTTTGTTTGATTTGTTGATTAACCAAAAAGCTAGTGCGCATCAGTAGCCAGGTTTTCCAAAGGATTATGTGAAAATGCAGTAATTAAAACCGCAGAGTTCAGTGTATTGTGGTTTTGAAGCATCCACAGTAACTATAACAGAGTAGTGTCCATGAAATTAAGCATCAAATGCACGTCAGCCATACTTGGTTCAACCACAGAGACATTGCAGGAAGGACCCAGGCAGGTACACAGTGTAGATACAATGAAAATGAGACTGTTATAAGGAAGAATTCAGAACTAAAGAAATAACCTCCTCTTGCCATGCAATTACTCTTTTTTTTATCCAGGATCTATACATATTTATTCCCAGTTAATCACAGTAAAGTGTTTTTGTTCCAGTTATGTTTATTTGCAAGGCATGTTAAAAGCATTAGCTTAGATATTCTTGGGATTGAGGAAACCCCTTTTCCTTTAAAGTACATGACAATATCTGGTATAGAAGGTGCTGGAGTAAAGCCAAAACCACCAAAAATAAAATTTCTCCATCAACAAAGTCCTTCTGCTGTTCTTGATGGATAAGTTTGTGCCCCTATACCATTCCTAGGATACTACCTTACAGCCACAGAAGAGCCCTGGCAATTTTCTTTCCTACCCATTAATTCTTTATATTTGTTGTGCCCCGTGGCAATGTCAGATACCTACCCAGACACCCATTAGGACCTTCTCTCAGAATATCAGCCACCTGACTCAGTTACTTGAATGTTAACACTTGCTGGAATCCAGAAGTGTGCTTTCTGCTTGTCTAGGCCTGTCACAGCTAGCTCTAGTTTGCTTGGGTGTAGACAGTGGTGTACCTGTAGCAGCAGAGAGCATGGTGAGGGCTGCCCAAACCCACCCGCACCCTGGATGAGTACTTGTTACCTGAAGCCCATGACGGAACAGCTATGAGGAAGTTAGCAAGGGTTACCCTGTGTGATTTCAGGATGTTCTCAGAGCATACACATTTTATTTAGGTATGTTAGGACATTGTAAATTATAATCTGGATGAGTTTTGCTTCTGTTTCGTAGTTCAAGCACATAGGAAGAAGAAAGGGGGTAAAAGAGGGTGATGCTGACAAGCAGAGGCTCTTTAAACACCCTTCTTCTCTGCTTCCCTGTGTTGTCTTCTCCCTTCCTCATTCACAGATTCTCCTGCTGTGATGCAGGAAGTAGGGCTTCCAGCTCATGCTGTGCTGGCCCCCTGTACGCTGTGCCACCCACTCCTGGCTGTTAGACACGGGCATTCTCATGCAGGAACTGTCTGGGTGGTAGATGATCTGGCTCCAGTCCAGCCAAGACACTTCCTGTCTTACTCTTTAGCCATCTAATGATGTTATCAAGATACCTGTTTTATTCCTATACCACTTAGGTCTTGGGATGCCCTGTGTAGCGGAATCAGAAACCCAGATGATCTTGAGACCTTTTACATATATTCTTGGAAAGATAGTTGGTCAGTGTAGAAGACTTACAAATTTATGTTGAGTCCTGGAGAGTGACTGAGCTAAGGGAGCACAGAGGAGCTCCAGTAAAACCTCCTGCCTTGTTCTTTGTGGTTTGGCTGGTTATCAGAGGTGGGTAGGAGCTGTATGACACACAGACTGCATGATATTTTCCTCTGTTGAGACAATGCTGTAACTGTGCAAAACAGGACACAAATACTTAATCTTCTATTAAGCATAGAAATGCTTTGGAGTACTGCAGTACATTACCTTTTCCTCTCTCTCCCTGTGCTGTTATGAGGGATGTAGGTATTATTCTCTTATTTTTTTACATGAAGAAATGGTGACAGACAGTGAGTTGTTCAAGCAATACAGCTAGTCAGTACTCCCTATGCTGTTTCACTGTAGCTGAACTGTACATCCAGTTCTGTATATTTGCAGGAAAGCAAAGCCATGCTGCAGAGATCCTCATTTTGAGAGGAGGGGCTGTAAGGATCAGTGGTGCCAGATAGTGGTTGATGGGAAAAAGGGGTTGTTCTCCCTCAGGGCACTGATACCTCCTGGAGTTAGCTGAATGGATATGTTGGGTTTGGTCATTCAGAAATATTCCTGCCCTGTGGCTGCTGGAGTTAGAAGCAGAAGCAAAGAAACTGAAATCACAGAAGCCTTTCTGTGACGTGGCTTCCAATAAATGAGATCTGATTCACCATGTCCCCTCCTCCTTCATCAGTGGGGTGCCTTTTCTCTTCAGGTTGATCCACCTCTTTTCCTTGCCTCGCTTCCATATCTCTGAAATCAGGCCAGGTTCACTTATGGGATTTGTTCCCTCTTCCTCTTATCAAAAATAGTTGGAACCATTGGGTTTCCTTAGAGCTGGCACCTGACATTCAGTCGCTTGTGCTTGCCAGATTCGGAATGCAGCTTTCCCCCCTGGAAGGAGCTGCCTGAAGGCGAGGCATCACAGACGTTGCCTCTACAACACTAATAGTTCTGCAGAGCAGAGAGGCATGGGGCTGAGAATCGGGAGTTCTGGCTTCCCGTGCTGTCACTGAATCTCTGTGTGGTTTGGGAAGTTACTTCTTCCTTTGGTACCGTTCCTTTAGCTGTAGGTCAGGGATAGCCATTTTTCCAGGAGGACATCAGGTTTGATTTATAAATCTTTGTGAATCCGTTTAGGTCACAACCTTAACCCAGAGCTCTTTAAGGAAAGTCCGCGGAGGAATCTGAGCAAGAGCACACAGGTTAAGACAGGTAGCACTATTTTATGGAGCAGCCAAACCTGCGCTCCTGCTAGCCATGTCACTGTCACATCTAATCAGAAGTGCTGCAGGTGGCCCACTAGCTACACTGTGCAACAGACTGCTCTGCTGTGCAGGAATGTATGTGGAGGCCCTGACAAAGGTACGACTTCAAGGAGCAAGTCAGGCAAGCGCCTCCTGGGCATCGGGTACATCCAGAGTTGTTGCAAGGACCTGGCATAGAACCCGAGGGATGGTGCCATTCAAAATCTGGATGTTGTTACAGCAAGTAAAGTCAGGCAGGGGTTACGCTTCCTGCCAACCACTGCAAAGGAACAAAATCATAACAGTGTTTCTAAACAACAGGGAAGCAAGCAATTAGTCTGTCCAGACAAAAAAGGATGAAAAGGGAACACACGGCAGCTATTCCAGACTTTGCTCTGGGATTTAGGGCACAGGGAGAAATTATTTTTCAACCAACATTACTCCAGTGAAGAGGTACGAGGCATCAGACTAAGTTCCAAATTTCTATGTGCTGTTGAGTATTATCATACATCAGGCTGAACTTCTCTTGCATAACTTACACATCTCGTCAGGCTGACATGCCACACTTGTATCTGGCCCACAGCCTTGGAATAAAATTCTGTTTATTCTGCTCCTAGAAAGTCTGGTAGGTGGGAGGCTGTACTGCATGGCTTTGCCATTCAGTCAGTTCATTCTCTTGCATGATAAATCTGGAAATTCGGCATTATCGGATTTTTTTTGGTGTATATACTAGGGGCCGAGTTCTGCTGTGGAGTAAATAGTGTTTCACCTGCTGAGACTGGAGCTGAATTTACCTAGTTTTGGTGCAGTGATTTCTAACATGTGGGAGGGAACACATTTTGATTTACTCTTATAATGGAAATGAACGATTTCATTGCACTGATACGATGGAAAGGCATACAGTTTGATAATCTTGCAGGCTTTTAGTGGATACAAGCTACCAACTGCAGTAGTTGCTGTATTTTACATGCATGTCATATAAGCTCATATTTGTGTCTCTTGAAGCAGCAAGGATGTTCTTGGAGAAGTGCATATTCATATAGTCTATGTTGACAGATATCTCCGATTCATGCACTGCTCTTACTTACTTGTAGCCCCACAAGCACAAACTGGTCACTACCAGCACATAAAAAGACTTGTTTTTTCAGCAGCAGGATGCTTCTGTACCGAGTCGTACCGCTAGCACAAAAATACTCTGAATTTCTCCAGGACCCAGTTGGATACAAGCACACAGGCACTGTCCTTTGCCAAAATTCACACACATGCTGTGCCGCTGCTAGCGTTTGTGCCGCTGCTAGCGTTTGTGCCGCTGCTAGCGTTTGTGCCGCTGCTAGCGTTTGTGCCGCTGCTAGCATTGCGAATCCAGAGTGGTTGTTGGCTGCAACTAGCTTTCCATTCTGTGACTTCTGGGTCACATTAATGGCAAGGGTATATTGGGAACTGAGTCTTACCTGCAATTCTTTGATTTCCCCATTGAAAAACAAAACCAAAAAAAAACCCAAACAAAAAGGACTAGTACGATTGGGTTTGAAAATGCCCCCTTACACCCCCAGCCAGGGTTTGAGTACACCAAGCCAGATGAGAGGACAACCAAAGAGGTCACTGTGGTTTGCCCCATTGAACTTTGCACTGCTAGTACTGACATGTGAGAAAACCCTCCTGCAAGCTGGTAATATCATGAGTTGTTTTTTTTTTAACTGCACTCAACAGGAAATGAAGTGCCATTTAAAGTTATCCAATCAGCTTTTGTATCTTTTCTCCACTTCTTGCTTGGTTTATCTGCTCTCTTCCTGTTCAACCACTCACTTTCATCTGGTGAGCAAGAGCCGGGCTGTTGATGGTTCAAGAGGATTGACTGATGAGGGGAACGATATGTGCGTAGTATAAATCGTCTCTGTCTTTTTGTGTTTTTGTGCAGAAGGCAGATGGAACATGTAACACAAACTTCAAAACTACGAAGACACAGGAGCAAGTTCTACAGGTTTTTGTGGAATTTATTGAGGGCAACACAACTATTTTGGTGAGTCTGAACTCTTCAGGTTCACTGATCTTTGACCCAATGAACTTGCTTCAGGGCCATGTGTCCTCTGGTACAAGAAAGATGAATTAAACTATCAAGGAAGAAAATGGTTTGGGCTTCCAGCCCCTCTCAGCAGACGGAGTGGACATGGGGACTTGGTGGGCTGCGAGAAGGAGTTGGCTGAGACCACTTCTGGCAGCTCTTGCCATGAGTTCCCCTCAAGTTCCTCACGCTAGCAAAACGTCGGTGAAGCTAACTTAGGGCTTGCCATCAGCTTCAACCATGAGTGTTAGATGCATCAGAGGGATGACGGTGTCTAAGCAAGGATTGTGTTGGCAGGAAAACTTGTGATTTAGGAATTCAGTCTGGAGAGGATAAAACCAGAGCATGGGGGCAGGAAGTGAGATGGGTGGCTGGCTGCGTATGTGTGAGACTCGCCTCAAAGAGCAATTCCTGCATGCTACTTCACGTGGTAGGTGGCATAACGCATCTCTTGGCTTTGGAACTTCAAAGGATGCCATAGTGTTTTGGTGCAGTGTAGAAGCCACTGTGAAGGCAGATTAGCCCTCCAGGAGGAGCATGCTTGGTAACACAGGGCAGCATTAACAATGTATATGAGAGCTTTATGCATTAGGCCTTGATTTTTTTTTTTTTTAATCCCCCCCCGCCCCCCTCCCCGCCATGGTTGGAGCTCCTTGTCTCTCTGACAAGATTTCATTCTCTTTTCACTGTGGAGAACGGAAAGATTTTTAATTACTTGAAACTTTTTTTTTCCTCTTTATTAAAAAGAAAAAAAAAAAAGGTATGCAGAAAGTGTGCAGCCAGATGCTATCTCACTGCATCCAATGCAGTGACAGGTAAGTATGCTTGGTGTAACACATGCAGCAGAGGAACTCCCGTCTGTTCGTTCACTATGAAAGCCTGTTGCCTATTGAAGTGTATTTTCAGATTGACTTTCAAATGATGAACCCATTGTTCTGAAGGACCTCTAGCCTAAAATTAACATGATCTCTTCATTATAGTGACTCTTGTAAACAGAGTGTCTTCATTCATTCTTTACTGAACTGTTTATGGCTTGTTTTTTTTATCCTCTTCCTTCAGAAGAAATACCTCAAGCGTCTGCAGGAAATTCATATCATTCTTGAATCCTCAGACTTCTTCAAGCGACACGAGGTGAGCAGTGAGTGTAATGCTGTGGAAGTGCATTGCGGCTTCATTTGATCGTTCAGATGTACTTCAGCATAACCTGCTGTATGAGTAGAAAGGAGTTCGTAGTAGAAGAAAACTAATAGATGTTAACAACGCAGATACCTCAAAGCCTCCATTACAACGATACAGAAGATTAAACCAGTTGAGGAATGATAAATCCTCCCATCTTTATAACATCCTAGCGCTTACAGCTTTGGACACTGCAGGGAATGGTTTATTAGTACCAGTTTCCTGTGGTTTCTCTAATCTTGGTGTGTTCCAGTGGGAATCTTTATGGGGGAATGGTAATGTGGAAGCTTGCATTTGGTACAGTAGCATTCAGTGATAGTTTGACAATGAAGACTTTATTAGTTATACTGGATTTATGTTGAAACACTGTGTAATTCCACTCTATATGTTCTTCTTGTATGCTTTGCTGTGGAGAAGGCATCATTAGCATTGTAAGTTCTGCTTGTTACAGCTCAAGATTTTGCGAGAAGACATTTTATTTTACCTTGTTGTGACCTCTTGTCAGTAGAGGCATTTTTGTTAATCACGGGCCACGGTCTTTCTTTGAAAGTAGTCACTGGCTTTTGCTGAATTGCTGGAATTGAGACCTGCTGCCAAGTGAGCTGGAGAATTGCTTTTCTTCCCTTTGTCTGCTGGGTCCCTTTTCCCATCTACAGGCCCATTTATACATTGCTGATTGATACGATTATGCAAATGGGCATGTAAATTGTCAAGGTAGCCCAGAAGTCTGCTGGGTCGCAAGTGAGAAGGTCATCTGAGGAGGTCATCTTCTTAATGGGAAGCGTTAAGTGATGGGGAGAGCTAAAGATGTGTTTTTAACCACATCATCTCAACCTGTCTTCCAGGTCGTTGGAAGTTCACTACTTTTTGTACATGATGGCAGTGGGAATGCCAATGTGTGGCTGATCGATTTTGGAAAGACCACCCTTCTCCCTGATGGGCAGACACTGGATCACAGGATCCCATGGCAAGAAGGCAACAGGGAGGATGGGTACTTGTTGGGATTGGACAATTTGATTGGCATCTTGGAAAGCATCACCGAAAGATGAGTTGAGAATGGCACAAAACTTGCAGGGCTGCTCTGTAACTTTCTGCTCTACTGGGATCGCTCAGTTAGAAGGAAACCTTTAACTCCCTCCGAACTCCTGAGGTCATCAGCGCAGAGGGAGCTGCATCCAGAACCCAGCGGTTAGTCATCAAAATGACTTTGCATCGGCCCTCTGTGAACCTAAATAACTCCAGATTGGTCTGTATTGCACCAGCCTGACTTCAGCCTGGTCCTCAGAGAATGAAGATCTCCATACTCAGGAGTCACACCAGCATGAGTCAAGATCTGTGTGGTAAACCAGAATGATTCTGATTTCTGGCAAACAGATGGGACTCCAGATTACCTCTTGGTGAACCAGAGCAAGTGCGTGGGGATTCAGGGTAGGAATAACAATTTTTCAGGGAACTGCATAGTTTTGAAACCAGCAAGAGTGGTGGTTTTTTTCCCCCCCTCAATCCCAAGTCGCCTTGCTCTTGTGTACACTATAGGTCGGACCAACAACTTCTGCTCCATTGTGTTACAGTGTGCACAAGGTGGAAATGGGTGATAATCACAAGAAACCTGGAGCAAAGGGAGACAGCAGTTGGTAGTGGCTGGATGTGGTAACTGCTGTTGACCATTCCTCCTCTTCCCTACCCTAGCCTCGATTCACTTCTATCTAAGAACAGCCTTTGCTTTTACGTGCCTCTCAGGAGATTACAAATACTCTAGGGAGAGAATAGCAGCCTATTGTCTCCAAAAACATTTGACTTTCAGACTGGGTGGGCTGTTGGAAAAGTGCCTGGCTTGGCAAGTTTGGCATCTTGCAGCTGAACTGCAGTTCTGAAATCAGTTATGACTCTTTCGCACACAGACCAGGGAACTAAGGGTTTTTTTCAAGGCGTGTTTATTTTGAGAGATAACCCCCCTATACATGTGCACACACACGCCCGCACTAGTAGCCAGCAACCAGTGTGATCTTGGTTTGACTGTCTCCTAACGCACGTGACTTCTTGGCCATGTTCCTGTTCCCAGACACGATGCTGCCACTTCAGTGTATAGACTGGGGCAGCGATCAGGAAGGTAACGCTTCTGCATTCACAGGATTACACTAATGATGAGAGAATTCCCAGGCATCCTTCCTCCGAGGTATCAGCTGTTAACTCAGGGCAGTCTGGGGGAAGGAATGTCAATGTACCATGTCCTATCTGGAATCGCAGGCCCAGCTGTGATTCATTCTTCTTTTGCTGTGGCCCAGGCACAGCCACAGAAAATTCACAGTGTTTAGGTTAAAATCAAGAAAGACTGAAGTGATTTCTTGTAATGGCTTCACATTCCTTCTCTGTTGGTTACTTCTAGTCACTTGAAACAGTTCTTTAAATACTAGCAGTATAACTACTATCAGTATTCACATGTTCACTCACGTTCCAGGTTTTAACATTAATAACGTGATGATGCAGATTTCAAAATGAGGACAAGACTTACATTGCTCTTCGATTGTTAGTCCCCTTTCAACATCTAACGCTGGTAATGCACATTGGTCATAAATTGCTGTCTTTTGCCAGTGTCCCGTGTTCAGAAGAGATTCCGAGAACTTTAGGATATATGAAGGTGACTCCATGCTTTGGGAAACTGCTATTATTTCAATAATAATTGTGATCATGAGCAAAAAAAGACTGTAGAGTCCAGATCTGGAACAAAATATCTATAACATTTGTAACTAGAATTGAACAGCCTAAAATAATTCCTAAAAGGAGTTACTTTAGATAACACACTACTGTACTAAGAGATCAGTCAGATTTAATAACTTTTTCATCACCTCTAAACAAAATGACAGTATTAAAAATTCCAGCTCAGTTGTGACCTAAAAGTTAGATGACACAGAGTGGGTATTCTCTAGGCAGTAATGACACATGGAAACATTTCATCCTAAAACAGAAGCTGTTTGAAACTGGTAATTATTTTTGCAGTTCACTGCAAATTCAGACTACTTCTGTGGCCTCCCAAAGTCCCTCTCAGTTTTATTTTCGTGATAGTATGTTAATGAATTTTCCACTTAGAATCTGTTTCAGAGGGTTTACACTTTTTTTAAGTGACAGCGAGCCTTCAATAGAGAGCACAGATATTATCATTCCAGATGCCTCCTAACTTTTGAACTGCTATGAGATGACAACTTAATCATCTGTGGTGAATTTCATACGATTTTAAAAAAAAAAAAAAAAAGTCTTCCTCCTTTCCTGCAGCCAACAGGTAAGCCATCGGTTCGCAGTGCTTCAGGAGAATAGGAAGTAAATGGGTCTCACAGGGAGGACTTTGATAACAACACCTTTTCTATGAGACTGCAATTGCATGCAGTCCTACCATAATAAAAAAAAAAAAATTGGAAGAGTTAGAAATGAGACTGTTAAGGTGATAGAATTCATTAGTAGTTTGCCTAATTAATCTTCAGAGTTAAATTTCTTTTTTCTGTTAACACATATGTGAATCTTTTGCACCAGTGTAACTTATTTTCTAGAGGGGAATTTAGAGGGTAAACATTGATGCTCAAATGTCAGTGGAGAATTTGAGACAAGCTTTTAGAATGACTGTCCAGTTCTAAAGGAGAACTAGAAGCAATGTAGTACCAGTAGCTTAAAAAAAAAAACCAAAACCCAACTGCTGCTAGCACCTGGATGGTTTGCAGTACGTGGTCTTGGGGGAAAACATGGAGAATGATCCATTCCTCTGCAGTAGTTGAAAAGGTCAGGAAAAAAGAAAACATCTGCTATAGCAGACCCTGGTCTGGAAACTCATTCTAGATGATAAATAGTTCTAGCAAGTTAGTTTTGACATGGCTCTTTGGCTTGCCAAGGGGTGAGAAGGGAGGAAGTCACAGTCATCTGCTGCTGTTAGGGGAAAGGAGAAAAGGAGGCAGCTTTTCATTAGCAAACTGCGAGTGTAGGACTGCAGCCGAGCACTGGAGCTCTGCGGGGCTGGAGGCTGTGAGCTCATGAGCAACCTCCCCCAGGGTAAGGTAGATACCTTGATTCCCAGCGCATGGCCCGGAGTGCCTGTCTGCATACACCCCCTTGCTAGCGTGAGGAAGCAGCGTAGCCTTCTTTCGCTATGGAGTAAGTTGCCTTGAATAAGCTTATAGTTGCCAGAGGGTCACCATGCTGCCTTTGCACAGGCATGTAACATAGAAGAGCTGCTGCGTGATAACCAAGGGACTTGTTCACATACAAGTCCAGAATGTGGTTCTTCAGTGCCTCTGCGGAGATGTTGCCTCGCTCCGGAGACACTGAGAGCACGTGTGTTTCCACAGCATGGTGAGATATGCTGGGCCAGAGGCACTTTGGTGCTGAACAGCGAACCTCTGACTTAGGCACCAAGGTCTTTAAACTCACTTGTTCGATGCAGCGACGCTTACTGCTGTGGCTGCTGCATTCCTGTGTGAATCTAGCAGTAGGACTTCTCTCCCTCAGCTTTGTCAGTGACTTGGTTTTTTGGCCTTGGACAACTAGGCTTCAGTTTTTTTCCCATTTTACAGATGGGAATAGTACCTACTTACCTCACAGGAACGGTGTGAGGCTGTCCTTCGTTATTGCTTGCAAGATGCTGTGAGATTCTTTGGAGGAAGGTGCAATATAGAAAGAAATGCACAAAGAGATACATCAGCTAAGTTTAAAAATGATGGGCATTGGGGCCCCACAAGAATATAAATTTGGATGAAATTTAACCAAAGTGGTAAAAATTAAATCTCTCTTAATTTTACACAGGGGGAAATTCACTTAACATCTGATCCAGCTCTTATTATAGGGAAAGATTTCAATAGGAGTTGGACCAAACCCTTAAGTATCTCAGAGGGCTCTTGCTATTTTTTTTTTTTTGTGTTGCTGTTGTTATGATTTGTTATTCTTAAGGTACTGAGATCAAATGGCCTGTATCATCCACAGTGCATCCATTCTGAACACTACAATGCAATGCTGACTATGGTCACTTTTGACATTGACTGTATTGGTTGAGTGTTTGTTACTCTGAAGTGTGTACGCTACTAAATAAATGAGACTGGAGGAAAAAAGACAGCCACTGTGAAATCTTTTCTTCAAGGATTTCCTTAGGGAAGGGACAAAAACTATTTATGTCAGTGTTTCTTGTGCTTTTAGTCTTCAGCATCTAATATTTCCTAAACCAAAACCAGTTCTAAGACATCTGGAAGCTAACGTTGGAGCTTGGTTCTAAAGCTCATGAGGTACATTGCTTTACAACCTGATCCACACAAAGCTTCCTCTGAAGTAAGCTCCGTCTCAAAAATCTCAGTTCATAGCCTGCAGTGTATCAAAACCCTGTGCATCAAAAGGCACTTGGCAGAGGCAGGGCGGTTAACTGTTCCACGGGGCAGGCTTGTGCGGCAGCATGGAACAAGCAGCCAGTCCGCCAGGACTGGCAGCGCTTCCCAGCAAGAGAGAATTGTCTTTTCACCTGTGTGCAAAGAGTACTTAGCAGAGAGGGAAACAAATAGCCACCATTAGTGTCTCTTTATTTTGTGTTGCAGATATAGAAATATACACTTGTCCAGCTTTAAATTGCATAGAAGCAGGCACGTCATCTGCTCGGGTACAGTGGTCGCCCAGAAAGGTAAGTTGGCAAGAAGTGCTGCCGTGGTCAGAGGTAATGACAAATCAAAACCTATTCAACTAAATGACAAAGTCATGTGACAAGACGGGAAGATGCCAGTGATGTCATGCCTAAGGTCTCTGCGTCAGATTGAAAAGGGTGGGCAGCCTGGAGGAGAGAGCACGGCCATGTCTACAGGAGAAACTGTCTCGCAGAGCTCTGCTGCTCGGGGGTCTGAGGCTGACACGGCTGTGGAGATGCAAATACAGTGGGGAAAACCGTACGCCCGGCAGCAGCGGTTTCTTCTCTTTCAGGTAAGTAGGGGGAGGTAGTGGAGGTGGAATAAGTTACACTTGCAAAAGCCCATAACTCATTAGACTCGCGAAGGTTTCTTAGTGCACACCTGCCCGGCGGCAGATCAGTGGAGACCTTACCTCAGGAAAAGGGCTGATAAAGGGGACACCTTACATGTCTGCAGCTAAAAATCCTATTTCTTTAAAGGGAAAATGAAGATACGCAATGCTTAAGTTGAGGAGGGAAAAGATAAAGAAATCAGAAGGAGGAATATCAACAAATGTGAAAAGAAAACAGAGAAAGACAAATTGAAATTTGCATTATTATTTCATCTTTTGTTATTCAGTCCCCTCTTTAAAATGTAGGAATGAGGTTGTATGAAGCAACGTAAATTTAATGCTGAGCCCAGAAGAAAAAAAACCCAACAACTATATGCACGCAAATCTAAAACTAAGTTGGTAACACGTTAAAAGACAAACACCCATCAGGAAGAGCAATTTATAATAATTTTATAAATGGCTGATTCTCCAGTGGGGAAGTGTTGGAAGACTTTTCACATGGATTACAGGGCTGAATTAATCCCAGATCTCCAGCTCATGTCATTCCTCTAGGAAACAAAATTGCGTTTTGGATTTCAATTGCCAAAGTAATCTAATTTTGACACTATGGGTTCGACTTATTGATTATGCACTAAAAGCGTCTCCTTAAAAAACAGTTTCAAGCAAGTTCTATTTTGAAATGGTAGCAATTGAGCACTATGAAATCTGTGATTGTATGAACAGTAAGTTTCAGTCTCAGCAGCTTAGGACTGAAAGTTGTACTATACGTCATTACGATTGTTATTTCTCTTTTTAGATAATATGGTTTGGACAGCATGTAGCATTTCAGCATCACAACAGGAGCAACATTAGCATGATTTCCTCCAGGATATTAATTAAAAATTCATTATCTGTGAGGGTTTTTAAAAGCAGCTAAGAGATCAGATATACACAGAAAAACTTGTTACAGGTCAAAGAGTCACGGCAGCTGTGCTGACAG